TTTTAATAGCCTATCTTCATATTATTATATATTAATAATATCACGTATTATTCATGTTACACTGAATGCAGATTTCCACAGATATGGATATACTAAGTATGAGTTCCATCAAAAACTGCACTAGTTCCCTTTCATCCCAACCCTTGCTTATCTTGGGATGAAACTTTGAAGAAGGTAATGCGACGACTTATATATGCAACAACCTCTGCCCTACACCGAGACAGGGAGAGAAACAAGTACTTTCCAATGAAAATTATTTCTCCTTGATAACAGTCTCCAGGAGAACAATAAGAATCAGAAATCTTAAAATTCTGGAACATCTCCATAATCACAATCTAAATCCTTGCTTCTGAAATATAAAATGTAACTAATTCCACACAGGTAATACTCTAGGTATACAGACATCATTTAAGTCTTAAGACTTATTCTTTGATCTAGTCTAAGCAAAATGTGTTCACAAAGCTCTAACCATGCAGAAAGTTATTTGCATTTTATCTACAGTGCCATAACTGAATTTATTTAATCTTTTAGAAGGTAATCTTTCCAACACCCTCTGAACATCGGCTCCCTATGGATTCCCTTTGTGTTTCCACAGATGGACGTCCATTCCTGTATCATGACATCTGTCTTATAATCGGTCATTATGATGCAGTACATTTCCTAAAGTTCCCAGAGAGAGAATAGATGGAAATTATATTTTTATGACTTTTTGTGCCTGATATAGGACAGTTTCAGGTATATATCTGAATAATTATTTTCTTAAGCACATAAATTGCACCTGGACATCATTTTCCTTAGAGAATTGAAGACAATGTAATCATATTCAAGTTCCTGCTACTGAGCAATCAGATGCCTTGCAGCCTCCAGTCATACATTCTATGAGTTTTAGTTTCTCACTCTCTCAAGGCTTTACAAATTTTTCTTTGTCTCTTATCTAAGATTTCATGACAATGTACTTTGATGGGGTCTAGTTTATCTTTTTTTAAAGTAAAATACCAGAGTAAATCTTTTTCAATGTATAAATCTTATTCAATTCTGAACATTTTTTATTCAACTGCTTCTTTGATTAATCTTTCTTTCAAATACTTCATTTTCTCTATTCTTCTTTTCTCCTATCAAATATGGCTTCCTACTGAGAGCTTCTAATTTCTCATTGTTTTAAAAGAAAAAAAAAAAAAAAAAGCTCAATCGTAACTTGATTTAATCTTAGGAACCCAAATCAAAATGTTAGAGAAAGGCATCTTCAGAAATTTTTGGAAAAAAAAAAAAAAAGTACTTGGAGCCAACAGTGATATGGTGCAATGAATATTTCTATAGGAAATTTCTAGAAAAAATGAATAGTATTTACTATATTCCAAGGGGCATTATTTATATCATGGTAATGAAAAATAGGCTCTAGAACTACTTTCCATATTGCTCTTAGAATGTCGCTGTTTACGACTCAAACATATTGTTTCAGATGAACTTAAAAAAAATGTTAAGGTTTTATTGATACCAATATAGTTCACAACTTTGGTTAAGATTACATGAACTTCCAAAGTAATTAAGAAGAGCTGATTCTGTTACATCATTAGAATATTATGTAAAATGCTCTACAGTGATGAAAGGTATTTTCCTAGTAAAGAGTCAAATGTGTGTAATTTTCTATGTAAGACAAAAACAAAAACAGAACAAAACCATTATTTACATTTTTTACTGGGAAAATGTAACTCTTCTGAAAAAAAATAATGTACTCACAAAATTATAAAGTAAAAATACATGTGGAATTCAAGTGGAACACTGAGGAATTTTAGGGACTTGAAACTAGTCTATATAATGCATGTCATAATACCTTGTCCAAACCCATAAAATGCCAGCCTTGAACACTAAAATAATCTATGGGATTTCAGAGATAATTATGCATCAATGGAATACTAACAACTGTAATAAATGTACTGCTCTGGTTGGGGTTGTTCATAACGAGGGACCCTGTACCTTCTGTTCAATTTTGCTAGGAATCTAACCCTGTTCAACTAGAGAGAATGTATGCGTTGTCTACGTTAGAATCTTTGTTAATAGGGGGTGAGGTGCACCTGGGTAGCCTAGTCAATTAAGAATCCGACTATTGATTTTGGCTCAGGTCATGATCACAAGGTTGGTTAGGAGATGAGTCTCCACATAAGGCTCTTTGCTGGGCATGGAGCCTGCTTGAGATTCTTTCCCTCCTTCTCTGTCTGCCCTTCTCCTTGTTGCTCTTTCTCTCTCTGTCTCTGTCTCTGTCTCTGTCTCTGTCCTCTCTCTAAAAAAGAATCTTTCTTATGAAAAGAGGAGCTGTTTTGAAAATATGCTTTCTCAGGATTGCCCGGGGAGCTCAGACAGTTAGGCATCGGATTTATGCTGAAGTCATCACCGTGGCACATCAGTGTGAGCCCAGCACTGGGCTCTCTGCTGTCACCACAGAACCCACTTTAGATCCTCTTCCCCGCCCCCTCCCTCTCCCTTGCCCTCTCCCTCTGCCCCTCCCCTGCTTGTTCTCTCCTCCATCTCTCTCAAAATAAGTCACCTTCAAAAGAAATAGAAAATATGCACTCTCAAAAATCAAAGCCAAAACATACATGCCTAATCACAAGAAAACGGTTTCTGTCTGGTATTATCGGCATTTAAATACTCAGGAAGATATAGTCTTTCATGATTCCCTTTTCAATTGTATTACAAACAATGCTTACTGTTCTCTAATTGGGGATTTCTACCCCTGAAGATCATTTGAAATATTAAGAAGAATTATAAGAGAGAACAATTAAAAATGGCATCTTCATAGTTTAATTAGCCTAGAGGCTCATGATGAATCCATTAGAGGGATAAAAAGAAGTAGCAGCGTGACATGTACACTAGTAATCTCGGTAAGAGACAAAACTAAGTGTTACATGTTTGCATCATCACATAAAACAACATGGTTGTATATAAACTTGTTTATTCATTTCAGGATTCTGAAGTGAAAGGACTGAGATTATTTTTTATTTTTTATTTTTAACTACAACTCTGTACTATTTGACTTGTTCCACTGGCATATACTGAGTTTTCCACGTGTGTTAAGGGCCAAAAGTAATAAAGAATTCACACATATACATGAAAAATTAGTTATGATTAGTTATTATCTTGCTTCAATTCCTCCAGTAATATTAAAGACTCAGGTGTAGCCTGAGGATTTAAATCATTTCGGCCCAACTTTACCTTGGGGGAATCAAGTGAATCTCACGTTATTCTAGAGAACCATAAGCATCTAATTGTCATTGCTTCGGGAACATAAACATAAACATGTTTTTCTTTCCCCTCTGCTCGTATCCAACTTTAGTTATTACCTTTCAGCAAGGCCACCCCCAAACTGGCAGAGGCAGAATTAAAAACAAAACCTCTTTTCTCATCCATTAATACTTGGATCACTGAGGCGCCATACTGAAGTTCGACACTAAGGAACAGGTTCAGTCTCTTCTTTGCATGCTGACTAAAACATGTTGGACACACTTATGTATAGATTGTCAGTGCCTGGGGCATCTATGAAAAAACTAAGTCACACAGTAAAGTGCATATGAGGATGTATAACTTCTTGTGGCTGCTGTAACAACTTACCACACACATCGTGGTTTAAAAGGACACAAATATGTATTCTCTCCAAGTGTGAAGGCCAGAAATTCACATCAGCATCCTTGGGGAAGAATCAAGGTGTAGCAGGACTCTAGTCTCTTCAGAGGGTTCAGAATATCTTCTAGCCTCAGGTTCTATCTTTACATCACCCTGACCTTTCTCTTTCTTTTCTCTGTCTCTCTGTCTCGGGGGGGTGGGGCGGGACAAAGGGGCGGGCACCCTGTATGTGGATTTCTGTGTATAAGCTTGCCAAGCCTCTCTCTCATAAGGAAAGTTGATATGGAATTTAGGGCCCATCATATAATCCAGGATGAGTTCCTCATCTCAAGGTCTTTCATCACATCTGCAAAAACCTTCTTCACAATATAGAAACGTTAGTTCCAAAGCATAGTCAGTTTACGGACTTATCTTTGGGGCCCAATTTTCAACCTACAACACAGGGTAACAGTCAAAGGTGCTGGATACGAGGAGACATCCAGCCAATTCCTCTGTCATTATTTCAGAAGTTCCAACAATGGATGCCACTAGACACAAAGGGAGTTCATCGCCTACTATATCCCAACAGCTCCTTACACACTAGACATCAAGAAATGATCTCTGGGATATCAGTCTACATTTTTCTTCTGTGCTTCATTTATGCCATTGCATCAGAATGTTACTGTGTTTCTCCATTCCACACAACCCAGGAGCTTTTGTACTGACTGACCTTTTTTTTTTTTTTTTTTTTTTTTTTAATCTTGAGAAATAGTTTTAATAAAACAGTTCACTCAACTATGTCATAACAACGTCACACCATTGCCTCAAACTCAGTGCATGGTTCCATTAGCTATGTGAGTCCCGGGTGGTTAACATCCCAGGGCTCTAATGATGACTGATTGGGATTTTGAGACATCAGAGATCAAACAATGTGCACTGGTATCACAGAGATAAAAATGGCAAGTACTATGTTTTAAAAATTCACTTATACACAAATGATTGATCTGTCAGCATACTCATAATACATAAACACACCATTATTCAACAAATGAGCTTTCTCCATAAAGTATATATTAAAAATATATTTTATCAGGGACCATGGGTGGTTCGGTTGGTTAAGTGTCATCTGACTCATGATCTCACTGTTTGTAGGACAGAGACCCGCATCTAGCTCTGCATTGAAAGCAAAGAGCCTGCTTGGGATTCTCTCTCCTCCTCTTACCCTCTGCCCCTCTTCCCATTCGTGCTGTCTCTCTCTCTCTCTCTCTCTCTCTCTCTCTCTCTCTCTCTCTCTGTCTCTCTCTCAAAATAAATAAAATTTAAAGTAAATATTCTTTATCAAGGTAAAATTGTTATAACTTACAAGTCTAAGTAAAATGCTATCTTAAAGATCATTTGCTTGCCTTTTTAAATTCAGCTCTAAGAACACAACGTCCAAGAGTGGACTGCCACTGAAGTTTCCGGCCACTGTGTTTGCTTAAGTAGAAATTCTTGAAATTTTTCTGAAGTCTTTCCATCTGGAGGAAAGAAATAAAGAAAAATTGATATACTGTATACCAATTAAAGTCCTACTTGAAGCCCTAGAATATTATATTTTAAAACATATGTCATGACCATGCATGGTTTCCCCAAGGATATGCAACACATTTCTGTGGAGAAAAGACTGGGTGGGGGCGAAAAAGACTTCTGAAACAAGGAAACAAAACAACCTCTGTTGATTCTTCTAGTTCAACATAGTGCATTCGGTAACTTACATATGCTCTTCAGGAAATCCACCAAGATGGCAATACAACTGTACAAATTAAATAAATCCATGGAGAAAGAAAGTAAAGGTAATGGCAACTGAGTTGCCACCAGGTCCCGGTAAGAGGAGCAACCAACAGGATGGGTAATTGATTTATGGAGAAGAGACAGCTAAAACCAAAGCTGTATGGTAAGAAAGCTAAAAACCGGTAGCAGTTGGAGAGGGGTTTCCATGATTACTAAGTGGAGCAATCAATAGATACTGAGTGATTGGTTGATGACTTTTTCTACCATGTGTTTATGTGACACATGAGTAAGTGTTTTTACTGATACACAGTAAGAGAAATAGAAGTCAATACCAGTAAATGCAAAGCATAAAAGCAAAAGGAAGCCAGGCTGGTCGATTCAAAATCTACAACTGACTACATGAAAAAGACAGACTATTTAAACTATGAAAAAGACTATTTATACTACTGAATTATTTAACACTGAACTATTTTACCTGTGTGCCCCCCCTAAAACACTGTACGACTACATTTCAAAACAGAGAACAGTAAGGAGACGTTCATATGAACGTGAAGTATGGCCTAAAGACTTATTAAAGATTAAAGGCCGGGGTGCCTGGGTGTCTCAGTCAGTTAAGTGTTGACTCTGGCCAGGGTCCTGATCTCATGGTTCGTGAGGTCGAGCCAAGCATTGGGCTCTGTGCTGACAGCTCAGAGCCTGGAGCCTGCTTCGGATTCTGTGTCTCTCTCTCTCTGCCCCTCCCCTACTCATGCTCTGTCTCTGTCTCTGTCTCTGTCTCTGTCTCTGTCTCTGTCTCTCTCTCTCAAAAATAATAAACATTAAAAATTTTTACAAAAAAATTTAAAAAGATTAAAAGGTACATGAAAATTAATCTACTATATAATATAATAATGTAAACAGTGAATTTCTTACATCTGGGGGTAAGTGGATCTCCTTAGGGATGTAGGCTGGCCAAAAACTCATCGTCAGAATGTTCACAGTAAAATCAATGTTTCCTGGTATATTTTGGTTCTTCATATACTGCAAAAACGTAGTGATGTAATGAATGCTAGAATTTTAAAACTCTTACATAGCTATAACTCTATATTAGAAATGCATTACTAAAATTAATCTGAATAATAAATTACTCATTGAAAATACAACCTGCATTTAAATGAAACAGACATTTTATTTTAATAAAATGCTTGAAAAGAACCAAGAACGTGCAGTCTGGTTGCCTCAATTAATTAAACATAGAATTAAGCTTCCACTGTATTTTTTTAAAAAATCCATCTTACCTCAAATGATCTGAAGAAAATTATGAAAAAGATACACACAGAGTCACAAATACTGAAACTAAAATGTACACAGCAAAGCAATGGAAAGCCAAGTAAGAGTAAAAAAAAAAAAAATAAAAATGGTTACTCAAAATATGTTGTATATAGTTCTTTAAATATGTGGTAGGAAGGTTATAAGAGCATGAACTTTCTTTCAAAAAACACAAAAAAGTGGAGTCTTACTTAAACTTCCTTTAATATGTCTCTAACGTAAGTATAAATCTTAAGGGAACCAAACCATTCAAGAACTTTATACTACATTAAAAAATCTTTTAGGCTAGGAATACCTGTTTTAACTGAATCATGATATCTTTGGAAAGCTCCATATCTTTAAACATTCCTTGAAGTTTATTAGTGAAAGCAGTTCCACATTCTGTAAAATATTTAAAACAACCAATTATAGGTGGCATTGGAGAACACCACCAAGCAGGGAACTACAAGAGTCCTTTTCCCTGAAATAAACACTAATCAATCTTGTGAAAGTGTCAAGAATATGCCTCATCAAAGTTCTAAGAGACAGCCAAAGGTTCTTAGCAACCAAGTGAATATTTAACCAGAATATAGTACATGTGCTATTTTACCTCAGTCAAATTTTACCCATTTTCCTGTTCAAAAGAAATCCTGTACATGACTGTTTGTGCTTCTACAGGGAGTTCCTGGTTCCCAAGGAATCATGTTTGGACTGGATTTAGGTAACCTAGAGTAACTGACTCAACTCTTATCAGTGTGAGCATCCATACGAAGAAAGCTTGCCAAGGGGCGCCTGGGTGGCGCAGTCGGTTAAGCGTCCGACTTCAGCC